CCAACAATTTTGTGGATATAAATACTTACACAGTTTAAATCATTTAACACCTATATAAAACTCCAATTTCCATGCCCATCTCAAATAGACAAATAACATATAAACACATAGCACGTATCTCATAGCAAATACGTCATATTTATGTGTTAGAAGAAAGTAACTACACACTCACACATATAAACAACAATAAACTTAATACACTCAAACCATACTTGTATTATTATCGTGTTTATGAAAGGTAGTAAACACTCACTTGATCAGAAGATGATCGAGCAGCACTACGACTTGAAAAAGTAGTATTCTTCGGTAGATCTGGAAGATCTCCACAAAAATCGAACTTCTCGCGGGCAGAGTTTCAGCTCGGAAACTGCACCTCTCGGGATCTTCGGGATCTCGGGACTTGCTTCGGGACTCGGGAATATTACCGGGGCTTCGGGGTATTTCTGGCGTGCAAAACGATGCAAAACGGGAGAGAGAATGGAGAAAAATAGCAAAGAAGCCGGCTGACCTCGCATCCTATTTATAGGAGGCTGGAGCCTCGGAGTACGCGGGGCGTACTGGTCCGAAATCGTCACTGCGTTCGTCATCCGAAGTCCTCGAGTGCGAGTGTCGACATATTCGTTGTACGCGGGGCGTACTCGAGTACGCGGGGCGTACTTCGGATCGGACCGCTGACTCCTCTTCGGATAATGTCGGGGTTTAATAATTAATTTTAATTATTAATTATTTAATAAACTTCGGAAATTCATATCTCCTTCATACGAACTCCGTTTTCGACGTTCTTTATATCCACGCGAAGGTGAGACTACGCTCTACACGATGCAAGACGCAGCACTTGGGTAGATCATGCACGACTCTTTTTGGACAAATACTTTTTGAAGATGAAATCTTTAACACTATGTAGGTAAATCATTGGAATCAAACAGCATAAAAGAGAAGCCTTTCAAATGTATTGGGAGAGATTCAAGAAACTTTGTGCCTGATGTCCAAAACACGGAATCACCAAATACCAGCTCCTCCAATACTTCATTGAAGGAATGAATCCAATGGAAAGAAGGCTTCTTAATGTCTCCAGTGGCGGATCTCTATCCGACAAGACTCCCACCGAAATCCACAACTTAATCAAAAACATGGTTGGATATTCTAAACATTCAAGTCATGATGAAGAATGATATACGGACGCACCCTGAGGTGTAAAGGAAGTGCAAACTCCTCAAATTGAAGCTCAATTGTTTGAGCTTACAAACTTTGTAATGATGTTGGCTAAAGACAAGGGTGTGCAGCCCACACCCTGCCTTGTGGTATTTGTACTCAAGTAGGGCATCCAACCGACATGTACCCTCAACTTCAAAATGAGGATTATGAAGAAGAAAATGCTTTGGGAGGGTATTCCAGGTCAAATCAGAGAGGATATGAGCAACCACAGGGTGATCAGAGATGGAATAATAATCAAGGATGGGGAGGAAATCAACATGGAGGTTATCAACAAAGACCACCATTTGCTCAACATCAACAAATGTCTCCCTTTCAACCTCAAAATTTCCAGCCTAGGCCACCACAACAACAACCTCCATAAGCGGCGGGTTCATCAAGTATCTCATTGGAGGATATTGTAACTAGCACTCAAAGTTTCCAACAAGAAACCAAGGCTAGCATAAAAAGCTGGGAGCAATAGGCCACCACAACAACAACCTCAATAGGTCTCACCTCGTATGATGTCTAGTGTCTCACATATTCGATATCTCTGAATCTCGCAACAACGACCTAACCTCGCCTAATCACATCAAGTAATTATTCCAATTCATTAACGGCTCTTGAGGCTATACTATATTCCTTTCTAAAATTCCACAGAAGGGTAAAAGACCACTTTTACCCCACCCTGACCCAAAAGTCCACATGTTGACTAAAACCCTAAAAGTCAACAAAAGTCAACAGCAAGCAATACGCGGGGCGTACCAGCTCCTGTACACAGGGCGTACTCTTGCACTCCAAAGATGGGGTACGCAACCCCTTACGCGGCACGTACTGGGATTACGCCCAACGTAATGCCCAGTTTCTTTATCCAACACATTCAGGTCTTAATCGGTTAAGACTTGCATCCAAACTTTAGATCTGACTCCTCTAATATGACTTAATCCATAAAGTTGAAACCTTTAAGCCTTTGCATGGCTGTAAAGGTCACTTTTTTCTCAAAACACCTTTCCTCTTTCCATAATGAGACTATAACTCATGCATGACACAAGATCCACATCCAAGAATAGATTTTTATGACTCCTCAACACATTATATACTAGAAAAGGTTAGATCTAAGCTTATGGAGACTCTTTGCACATAAAGTCTCCAACTTTGAACCAAAAACCCTAAAAATGGTCCAACAATCAAAACTTATGAAGAACAAGGAAAGCTTTGAGCTTTTTACCTCAGAAAGGATCTCCAACCACTATAGAACTTGGATCTACGCTTGTTTTTCAACTTCTAGCTCCAACAATGGCTCCTTCTTCTCCTTCTTCACCATGAAAAGATAACTTCAAGTTCAAAAACACACACACAAGCTAAAGCACGAATCTCAGCTCTCCAAGGACTCACTCAAGGGTGTATGGTGGCTAGGGCAAAGGATTACATGTTCCTTTTATAGTGCAAGGCCAGGAATTAGGGTTTGGCATCTTGGCCAGTCACGCCCGACGTAACCTTGGGTTCACCCAGCGTACCCGGATGACCCGCGTACAAATTAAGCGTGCGGCGTACATCCCAGTACGCCCAGCGTACTCACCAATCTACTTTTCAACTTTAAGGGTCTAATTTTCCAACTCTCCAAAATAGAAGGGTCATAAAGCTAACCAGGATTTCGGGCTGTTATAGGATTCAATTGGCCTACCATTTTTCGTGATTCTTATGTGTTATGAGCACATTGTGATAAGTTCCAAAGATTCGGGTCCTTAAGCTTTAGGAATCAAATGCACCTTACTCCCATTATAGTATGTGAGATCTTTGATGTATGGGATATTCACTTTATGGGACCATTTCTGCCCTATTTTGGTTGTTCATATATCTTGTTAGTAGTGAACTATGTGTCCAAATGGGTGGAGGCTAAAGCCACCCGTACTAATGATTCCAAAGTTGTGGTGAATTTTCTTAAGGCACAACTTTTCTCTTGGTTTGGCACTCCAAAGGCTCTCATAAGTGATCGTGGGACTCATTTTTGCAACCGGATGGTTGAAGTCGTTCTGAAGAAGTATGGGGTGACTCATAAAGTCTCAACAGCTTATCACCCCCAAACCAATAGACAAGGAGAGGTTTCAAATAGGCAAACCAAAAGCATTTTGGAGAAAACAGTCAATCCAAACCGCAAGGACTGGAGTATAAGTTTGGATGATGCCTTATGGGCATACCACACTGCCTTCAAAACCCCTATTGGTGTGTCCCTATATCGGCTAGTGTTTGGAAAATCATGTCGCCTTCCAGTTGAGCTCGAGCACAAAGATTTTTGGGCTGTAAAGAAATCAACTTGAATGAAGATAATGTGGGATAAAAAAAAGGAAGTTAGACATTCAAGAGTTAGAGGAGATCAAAAATGATGTGCATGAAAGTGACAAGATTTACAAAGAGAAGACAAAGGCGTATCATGACAAAATGATCTCCCATAAGACTTTTTCACAAGGACAAAAAGTGTTTTTTTACCACTCAAGGTTCAAGTTGATTTCAGGGAAGTTAAGATCAATATGGGTTGGTCCTTTCGTGGTCACAAAGATATTCGACAATGGTGCAGTGGAAATCACAAGCCAACAAACTGGAAAAACATTCAAAGTCAATGGTCATAGTTTGAAGCCGTTTTACGAAGGATTCAAAGTGAAGGATGATGAGATAGAAGTGGTTGGGAACCCTAAGTACCAAGACTAAAGCATATTCAGGGGCCACGTCGAGCCAATGACTTAAAACAAGGGCAGCTAACCGGGAGGCAACTCAGGGGTATTTTTGTCTTTTCCTTTAAAAACATTTCCATTCTTTTGAAGTTATTGTTTTTTAATGTTCCAAATGCATTTAAACATGTTTTCAAATCACCAAACGGTCCTCGGGATGCAAAACCATTTCTTTTCAATGAATCGGGATTTTTGGGTTCCAAAAGTGCGAAGTGGAAAACAGAGCCATATACGGCCCATGTTCATTCTACCTTGTATTAAACACGAGTCGTGTACATGAGAAGTTAAATTTTTTTGGAGTCAGAGAGGTACATGACCCGTATTCTATTCTGCCTTATAATGAACACGGATTGTGTTCATGTGAGGCTAATATTTTCGGAGTCAAAGAGGTACACGACCCGTGTTCATTTTTACCTTATACCAAACACAGGCCGTGTTCAACCATTCTCAACAATTATTTCACTTAACACGACGCGTGTGGATTTACGCTAAAAGAACACGGGTCGTGTTCGTGCAACAGAACATTTGGGTTTTTCACCTCATTTACCCACAAACACTTCCCAAAACAGCCCCTTTCTCCCACGAAACCCCCAAGCTCCGATTTCCTTCAAAAACCTCTTTATTCTCCATCAATTTTGGCTAAAATCTTCAAAGAGGCTTGATTTTCTTTTTCTACACTTCATCTGCTACATCTTACACACCAATTTCTTGCACTTTCATGGTGGATTTGGGGGTTTTGACAAACCCTAGATCCAAAAATCACTAAAACATTTGTGTTTTTTGTGCTTAAATCTTTATGTAGGAAAGCTTGGGGAGGTTAAAGAAAAAATTCTCACCAACAACAACGCATATCCACTCATAATCCAGTACAATCTTTCCAATTCGTCACTTGTGGATTTTGTGTTCTTAAGGTCAAATTGCATGTATTTGTGGTCATTTTGGACTTGACAATAACTTGGAAATCATTCAAAACCGAGTTTCCCACGAATTTTTGGTGGCCAAACTCGAGTTGACTAGACTCGTCAACCGTTGACTTTTTGACCCATTGACCAATTGACTTTTTTCCCCAAAAAAACTTTGCATATGGAAGGCGAGCATTCTAAACGGCCTAGACACACCAAGTCGTCGGTTCAACGTTGTAGGTCTCCCACACCACCGTCTAGGTCCCCATCACCTCCACCCAATCCGACACATGGAGGTGTGGTTTGTTCCGGGCCAATTCAAGTTGCCAAACTTGAGGCCTTTCTCCAATGCACTCATACCATTCAGAAGTTTGCGCATGTTACATCTCTCTGTGAGATGCACATCTATAATCAAGTCCACCCCTTGTTCCGGAACAATGGATGGGAAGGGTTTTTGCGGGTCCATGAGCTCAGTTACAAAATCCCGATAGCCGAGTTCTTGTCTTCACTCTATTTGGACCACGGGGTATTACATTTTCGGCTTATGAACCACGATCATGCCCTATCCCTAGATCAAATCAACGCCATAGTTGGGGCCCCCACAGAAAACACCTTTAGCCCCAATGACCCACTCCCAGGATACAGTGAGCTTACATGGTGGAATTACCTTACACATCAACATCCATATGTATCAAGTTCTACTAAAGCCTCGTCTCTCATCCACCTTGTGATGAAAGTGGCTCATAGGATTATTGCTTCACTTGTCGTCCCTAAAGAACAAAGAAGCACCATTAGCGTTCTTGAGCTCAAAATACTCTATGTGATGGCCCACCCGTACAATAACCTCGTTCCTCATTATGGCTCATTCCTTTGCAACAAGCTAACCCGCCTCAACACATCATGGTCCGAAAAAATTTATTGTGGTGGAATTGTTAGTTTGTTTGCTAAAAGTGCTTCAGTCCGGGCCCCATATCCCGAAATCCACCAAGCTCTGCCCGGTGAGCCCTTCCTTACCATGGCAGCACTCGAGAGCATGAGGATGTTTTGGACGGAGGATGGGAACCACAATTGCACCATGGGCCAAAATCACCACCCCAAGGCTCCTCATCACTCCCAAAATCGGAGCATCCTTGCCCTCAGGCGGCCTACTAACTTCACAAACTAGAAAATCACGCCTTATCTTTTCCCCATCTCCATCTCCGAGGAGGAAGATGAGGAAGGTGAAGAAAGTGACGAGACTGATGAGAGTGGCGGGGCGGCACCACAAAATTCTCCTCCCATGGGTGGAACTAGCTCAACCCATCATGTTGGGCACCCATTATATTACCAGCAATATATGGATCAATTCCAATCGATCCATACCTGCCTCGACACTTACCATCAAGATGTCACGAACCTAACCCAAAGTTTTTCCTCCTTCACCACTCAATACGCTCGGGATTAAGAGCATCAGCGCAAGCATGAGCAGGACTTTTGGGCTTGGATCCAAAATCCCAACTACTATCCTCCTCCTCCTCATCTGCAATAGGTTATTCCGCCCTCTCCGAGCAGCGGGGACGATCCTTATCGTACAGCTTTGGGAGGGGTAGAGTTGTGCACTAGGTTCATTCATGCATTTCATTCATATTCATGCATTTTCAAAAAAAAAAAAGTTGTAGCCTGCATTTTAAAGTATAAAACCCAAAAATATTTTTCCTCTTTGCTCTAGTTTTAAAGCTTTTCATGGCATTTAGGTTCATTCATGCATTTTCAATATATATATATATATATATATATATATATATATATATATATATATATATATATATATATAGACAGACATGACGATGACACTCATTACATATGATACTTCATAAAGTGGAGAAACGAGAAATAAAATGAAAAACAAAATCCCAAGGCGACTGGATAGTTACCGGAAGTGTAGAATTAGCTGTCATAACAAGGGGACACAAACACCGTAATTCGAGACCCTAGCCTTAGAGTATAATAAAAAATGCCATACCGAAACGTTTTTGTGGGCGGTAATAACAACTTTAGGATGATTTGCTTCTGAATGTTTAAAAAGAATATTTCTCGGCAACTCTGGACCCACAGAACACGAACCTATATGTTGACACGCGTTACCCTCGCGGTAACAGAGAGCTTAAGTATTTGATCCACACAGTCAAGAAAGAAGAATGGGTACAACTATCACATCCAGTACCCACCCCCCCCTCCCAAAAAAATCAAGCACTTAATCGAAGAAACTTTCATAAAATCAAAAGTTGATTCAACAATTCAAAGCTCAAAACGAAGCTACAAATTCAAGTTCAATAAAAATCAAAAGCCACCTAGAAGTCAAATCTAGCAATGAAGAACTGTGTGATATGATACTTGTGGCTCTCGAAAAAGTGAAAGCATAGGAGCTGGGCCCGTTCAGGTGGGCTCACTGTTTCAGCGAAAGCTGATTCGCCGTGACGGGTTCTTAAGGATGCGTCGATTCTGATTCTTGACCAACTAGTCTTAAGGACATGAGATCCCAAACTGTGTTATTTTTGCTCGCAAAGCTAATTAAGGTATAAAGTTTAAATAAAATTATGATTGAATTATTGTATTACACCGTTTCGTGGTCTTCCTCACTTTAGGAGTCTGTGATATGTGGAAGGTAGCAGGATGGTCACCTAGGTATTAATGATTAGAGCCCCCATTGATGTAAAGTCTGATCGTATATGTCCATATTTGTAAAAATAAATAAAAAGACTACTTGTGTTCTTAATTTTTTCTTTTTCCTTGGTTCATTTTTTTGTTCCTTAAGTATCTTTTGTACAAATGTTTCGTTTTCATGGTTTTCATTGCATGCACTCATTCTTAGCTTTTAGGATATTTCTGCCCCCATTTTTTCAATGTTTCTTTTAGCCATCTAGAAATCGTCCTGTTTGTCCGGTTCTTGCTCTTTCTTCAGGACAAGAAAGGTCTAAGCTTGGGGAGATTTGTTAGGTGCAATTTGCGCACCTTTTTCACACCTTTTAGTCCCTTTCCATCCATCCATTTAGCATAATTGTTCTTCTTTTTTCTTGCATTTTATCATATTTATGTTAGTCTTTAGAAGAACCTTATTTGCACACTTTCATATCATTTTCAAGTAAACCGGAGGTTGGGACACGCTTTGGGAGGTGTCGGATGCATTGACAAAGAATTCGGGATGATTGTGCGAGGAGCGGAAAATTTGGAAAAATGAAGTTTGGAATAGGAGTCAGAGGGGTACACGGGGCGTGTTGGATTTGCACTATAAAAGGAGCATGGGCCGTGTTGACCAGAAAAGGGGCGGTTGACTACACTGAACACAACCCGTGTAGATTTGTTCTATTTTGACATGGGCCGTGTTCAACCCAAAAACTGCCTTTTGGCAGTTTTTCCTATTTTTCATATTACGAGAATTAGGTCATTTTTAGACAAACATAGGAGACCAGAGCACACTGGGTGAAGGAATTTCGAACGTTTTTGCAAGGATTTAATCGGCTAACATTTGGAAACATTATTTCCCTTAATTGTAAGTTGTAATTACACATCATTTCCATCTTTTCAACTTGTGGTTTTGTTCTAGCCATGTGTGGCTAGAACCCTAGTTTCTCCAACTTCATGTTTTGACTTCTTGGTTGTGATTTCAATCATATGACTTGATGTCTGCTTTTGATTTCTATCTAGTGAATTTTATTTTGCTTCAATTGAATGTTTGATTCTATTTGTGATTCTTATTGGACATTTTAAATAGGGTTAGGTCATTCAAGTTATTCATTTTGCAAAATCCGTAATTGTTTTGTGAATTGGACTAAGTAACAAGCATTAAATTGATTTCCATTGAATGAATTTAGTGTAATCTTTTCACACACTTTTACACACCCGAGCTTGTGAGGAGTATTAGGTGTTGTTGGGAACATTCACATAAAGCTTAATGCAATCTTTTAATCTAATTCTAAGAGCTTATTTAGATTAGGTTAGTAAGGTTAGGATTAATCAAAGAGCTTGTTTTGGTTAATTAATGTGGTGAATGGGAAGTGTTAGAGCTTGTTAACACTTTCAAGTACCAACTCAGATAGAATTGAGCAAATATCATGTTATCTTGGAATCGCATTGCTAAGTTGTCATACATAGATTTGAAGTCATTACAAATTATGAATTTAATTCACTCATTTAGCTGATCACTCGTGTTTTTAATTGTTTGTTTTAATCATTGCATTCTAAACCTCCCCCCCCCTCTTTTTACTGTTTGTGGCCATAGTACCTTGTGCAAAGAGGTATAGACTGATTATCTCGTGTCTCTGCAGATTGACCCTACTTGCCTTGTACAATCCTTTAGTGCAATATAGTAGGATTCTTTTGGAGTATACCATACCCCTTTATTTGTTAGGTTTGACATGCCTAACACATAGTATGCCCATGTACGTGTTGAGTACGCCCAACGTACTCAACTGATTGACCCGTTCGACTCAGTTGACATTTGACTTTGACTAGGATTTTGACCAAGTTTGACTTAAGGGAATTTTCTGTAATTTGATTTATAGATGGAGATTTGGGTTCATGTTAAATATATAGGTGACTGATAAAGATAGATTTTAGAGTAATGATCGGTGTAATTATTCTTTTAGACTATGAGGTGAGTTTTCTCACTATATCCATGGGTCGAAGGCACCAATGCTGACCCATTACTTGTTATGTGGAATGCTAGTTCTCTATGTGATGCATGTATGAAAGACTAGTATTTGGCCCCTCGTAATTGTATGAAAGAGCAGGATCTGGCCCCTGGAAACTGTATGAAGGGCTAGGATCTGCACCCTAGCAATTAAATGAAAGACCAGGATCTGTCCCCTGACACTCGTGTGTAAGACCAGGATTTAGCCCTCGGCATTGCAAGGAAATACCATGGGGGTAGCCCATGACACTTATATGTAAGACCGCAATTCGGCCCTCGACATTGCAAGGAAAGAACATGGGGGTAGCCCACGACACTTGTATGTTTTGGTATGTGGTATTTTAGAGAAGTCGCTAAGATTTGTGCTTACGGTATCATATTTATGGTTCAGGTACTTTCAGTTCGAAAGGGACGGGCCCGACGTGACTGCCCAACATCCCCTAGAGTTTTTCGCATTAGCGATTAATGATATTACTCTGATGTTTAATTAATATATTCACTTCGATCGGTTTTGGAACAATTCGTTTGTATGATTTATTGTTTTTAAAATGAAAATTTTACCTTCGATTTTTCAGGACGTTACATAAGCGTTAATTACATAAATAAATAAACGTTTTGTAACATCCCAAAAATCACAACAAATTTTAACTTTTCAAAAATAACCAAAAATCATAATTGTTTACAAAAGACCCATTATTTCAAGAGTGTATTTCAGTAATCAAAGTATCCCAAAATCCAAACAACATAAAACTAAAGGATGTGTACGGTCACACCTTCGCATTGCCACGGTCTTCTGAAGTTCCTAAACAATAAACTAAAAATGTAAGCCAAAGCTTAGTGAGTTCCCCCAAAGTACCAACACACATAACATACAACAACATATAGTAGGTCCACTGCTAACAGACTGGATTACTCCTAAGCCCATAATATGAGTCTGATTTTCCTTTCAGGCCCACAACTCATATATGGTATGCTCCTGACCCACATCATAAGTCTAGCTTGCCCTTCAGGCCCACAACTTATGTCTAGCTTTCTCCCGGGTTTGTTGGCTACCCCACGCAGTAGCACTACCTCAACCCAACCATACATTGTCGACATACACGTAACAGATAAACATATAACAATAACAGATAATCATGTAGATCTTAACAGATCACTACAACATAGCAACATCCTAACAAGGATACATAGTCTATCGTGTCGGCATTAGTGCCTTCAACCCACAAGCACAATGAGGAAAACTCACCTCAATCAAGAGATAGCAAATCTCACACCCAAGTCTGTTTTCCAACGAATCCTTTATTTAAAAAAATCAATACCAATCCTAGTTACTTGCTAAGGTTTAAACCCAAAAGCATGAGGACCAATGATGTCCCATGACTAAACTAGGCCCACTAATGGCCCCGCCTATCTAGAGAACCCTAAGGCCCAAATTTTCCAAAATGGCCTCAAGTCAATAGTTCAAATTATAACCATCATCACGTCACAACCACTTC